AAAAAAAAAAAAAAAAAAAAAAAAAAAAAAAAAAAAAAAAAAAAAAAAAAAAAAAAAAAAAAAAAAAAAAAAAAAAAAAAAAAAAAAAAAAAAAACTAAAAATTATAGTCACAATCACGCTAATTATCCTCACTGGCTGGCCCCTGAGACAAGTGATGGTAACGACCAAAATCGACAACCATGGTACAGCTCGCTTTGCGACCCGACTCAACTGAACATCGCATACACTACTCTATCCTTCATCTACTCCAGAACTAGATCGGATTGAATCGATGTCTCATCATTAGTCTGCGGTGGAATGATACACTTCATGCGCAACAAGTGCAAAGTGTGGAATCAACGCTCCACAACGGGGACAGGCTACACACGACATGTCCTCGTCCTCATCACTTTCCTCCCAGGCATCACCTCCGGTTTGATACGCATGTCTGTCGAAGCCCACGACTGTTTGAGAACTACTGAAGATCTCGTTAGATGGCAGGCTGGGATCCCTAGCGTATTGCGTACCAGTTTCCGGTGATGGCTGTTCCGTCACCGGAACGGAGAAGTCTGGCCTGCGTCCCCTGTCCTGCTTCTGGAACATCTTCTCGATGTCTCGTCCACTACTCTGCTTACGCTCCCCAGCTGCATCCACCATGTTGGTCACGGCGACGTTCAAGAGACGGATGTTCCAACCAGCCTTTTCGGGATGAAGTTTCCGGAACATCGAGGTCACAAGGTCGTGCACCAGTTGTTCCGCCAGCGCGTCAATACCCGCATCTAGGGAAAATACATACTGGGGCAACGGTGCCGAGCGTGAAATACGGTTGAAGCTGTGAGCTTGTGCCTCGCTGGATGTAGGAGGTGGCCGAGGTCTTGTTGATAGACGGAGAGTCTTTGGACGAGCAATCCATCGCATATTGGGTGTTGTTCGAGAAAGCGAACCTTTCGATCGCGAGTCCGCCGCAGCAGGTTCTTCCTCCGTGAGGTCCGCTCGCATTCGACGTATTAAACTAGCCGTCAGAGAGACCAGCTCTCTTCTAACTTCTTCGAAGGTGCTCAGACACCCATACGAGTCTTCAATGCTAATCTGGGTCGGTAGGTCCCGAGCCTGGAGAACCTCTGAATTGTCTACACCATGCAATAGGCCCCATACCTTCGTACCAATACCTCTGGGGGACCCTGGACCGCCTAGGATTTTATCTAGAAGCATCGGGCCCATCCTCGGAAACAAACGAACGTCTCGGACCGTGGTTGTATCATCCTTCGCCGTATCAGAAACGCCCTGATTTAAACCCGACTGGGCCGGGCTTTTGAGGTAGGAAGATAATTTTTGAGAAAGTTTAGAACCAATCCCAGGAATTTTTCTTAGGTCATGAGCGTCAAGGAAGTTGAGCACATTGCTCTGAGCGCCTTGCTCCGCCGCAGCATAAGGCGGAAGAAGGGTGGTTTGGTTGTTGGGCTTATAAGTATTACCCACTAATTTGGCGAGGATTTTAGAGGTGGAAATGCCTACTGTGGCAGTGTAGCCCTTTTGTTCTTCCAGTTGCCCACGTAGGTAGGCTGCCAGATGGGAAGCAACTAGTAGTTTAATCTGGAGCGAAGGAGGATCCTTTCCCGCTGAAACAGATGGCCAGGCAGAATCCGGTGCTACGTTAGGAGCCGCAGGGTAAGTCGGGCCATGGAACCCAGTGGCATCAAATGCGAAACCGAGGGTGGGATCCTGACGGTTGAGATGAAAGAACGAGTGTTCTAGATCGTTTCGATTCAAAAGATCCACATTGTATGTAATCATGTCTGTGACATCCAGAAACAACTGTTGTTCTAGTATCAGAGATAAGGCTCCGAGATCCACAAACCGTGGGGACGTGATAGCAACCGAAGAGTAAAATACAGACGAGGAAACCAACCCACCTCATCAAATCCCAATTTTTCCACTTTGCCGCTCCAACAGAAGGCACGGAGGAAGAGGTAGAGACTCTTCGATGCATCGCGAAATTTAGTTAGATCTTCACCGAGGACGATGACCAGCTCTGGGCAAATCTGCCTGGCTTCCTTGATCAATTGCAGCTTGCGTAATCCCCTTCTGCGAGCCTCGTAGTTGCAGGTCACTACGATCTGCTTCTGTTGGACGGCCAAAGGAAGCGTCTTCAACACCGGTTGCTCAACTTCAAAAACCGAAGCATAGAAACAGTCATAGTCCTGGTATAAGAGAAGCCGATAAATGATTAGTCCCCTGTTCATTCCCTGGCTGGTGCTGGGCGGGACTAACAAAGTGGATTATGATTCGGTGATCATCACGGGGCGGTACCACAGCCATTCAGTCAACTGCGAGTGACAGCAAAAGATTTCTGTTGGTGTGAGTGAGTGGAAATAATCATCGTGCAGGATTCATGCCTGATTGATAGGCGTTCAAGGAATGTTCTCCATGTGATCCCGGAGTCTTGATTGGCTTGAAAGAAAAGGCTGGAGGGGTTCGTGGCTGGACTCTTCTTTTTAGGGTCTGTTTTCCCAAGCCAGCCCGGGAGATACATTTCTCCCGTCCCCAGACGGACTAGTCGCGTTTCAGTGCCCCACTTAGCCTCGTGTATCGACAGGGATCTTTTTATAGTACCTCAGCATACCATCCGATGACAATACCTGAATGCTATAAATACCCTTCACGGCTGTTGATTCCCACTCGATTCCAATCGTCTGGACAGAGGGTATAAGTATGTGAAGAAAAGAATCCACCATGATTCAAATCAGACAATCGAACTGGATCAGTGGGATCTTCCAAAATGGATCAGCCACGCGTCCAGACGCAGATTCGACTATGTAATCTTATTTTAAGAAATGAAGAGAGAAAAAAAAAAAAATAAAAATAAAAATAAGAAAAAAACAAAAGAAACGAAAAAAGTTAAATATGGTTCTAGTCTGTCGACAGCAGCGGATCCTTCCTTCACCTGTTGATACTGTGAATGGGTCCTGACGAGCAACGATTGCTGATGCGGCGTCAATAGTTCTATTTATTATTAGAAGAGTCGTAACGCTGTGTAGTACCGCAACATTATTCTTATACGTCGGTTTTTTTTTTTTTTTTTTT